ACAATATAATTCAATGTATTTGAACTTGTATCCCGAAAGACGACAACCACATCGAACTATGTTCAAGTTATTGGATCAAAATCTCACCGAGTTTGGTTCATTTGAAAAGCTGAGGAAAGAATACGGAGACAGAATGGACCAGGAAACTAAATAAAATTTGATAAATGAGGTATGTATGAGGTAATTTAGACATTGTGTCCTTTTCAATAAAAATTAATAATTTGCAGATAAACATGAACCCGGGGAAATCTACACGTCAAATTTCCTCAGGAAATGAATATTTGTCATACAAGTGCTTGGAAACATCTCAAAAAAGAGGTTTAAAATGTTACAAAATACACATATCTCAAAAATTGTATCCAGGTGAACTCGAAAGGCGATTATAATTTTGTAATTGGCTAATAAGAAGACCTGATTTTCCTGTTTTCCTTGAAAATGTAATTTGATGAGAGTACTTTTACGAACTATGGGATATTCAACCGAAATAACGAACACATTTGGAGCATAAACAACCCCAGGCAAGTGCGATTTAGTATTAACGTGTGGGCAGGAATTCACAAAGATAGAATTTTGGGTCCTCATTTATTTGACAGAATTCTGAATGGAGAAACCAATCACCAGTTTTTAATGTCGATTTTCGAAGACTATTTGGATGATCTACCAACTATAACATCTGGTTTCAACATAATAAATTTCCATTCATTCATGAAAGCCATTTTTCGCCAAAATTCAATGACTTGTATAATACTAACATGTCATTGAGTGTAACAAATTGAAAGTCAAATTTAGAAACGTCAAACTCAATATCTCCAATTTTTCGAAAAAGAATGATAACTTATGATACACATGAAGTTGATGATGGATAGCAAATGCTTGTGCAATTTGTTTTCGAATCCTTCGAAAATTAAAGCCATAAAGAATTTGCTGGACTTAACCCTACAGAAGACTCAATTTTCGAATATCAAAGATAAACGAAAAACGTTTAATTGAAAAACCAAGATTCTACATCCACCGCCGAACGAAATTTGTCTAGTTCTTCACTGCAAAGCATCTAGTTGAAAATGCCTTGTTTTTGGGCTCTAGTTTCAGCAAAATGAAAAATAACTAACAAACATCGAGTTCACGAACAACAATAAACTTCAAAATTAAAAAAATTAGCTGAAAAAACAATTTTATTAAGCAAAAACTGAAATTACAATGAAAAACAAACTTTTTTGTGTTTGCAATCTAGTAGGGTCCCTAAAGAATATAAAGTGGAAATACTTTACATCCACATTGAGTAGGAAAATAAATTCAACAGATTACAGGCGAATCTAGTAAATGATATCATTATTCATTATAGAAGTTAACACCACAAACAAGTCTTTAGTTATAAGTTGTGAAAACAACTATTCATGTAGCATGAAAGAGTTGAAACCATAGAAACTTTTCAATAGACATGTACACAAATCAAACTCTCAATCAACTCAAGTTTATGTCCTAGATTTCCAGGCAGTCTAAAGGTTTGAAAATATGGTTGAAATGGTGAGAAAATATAGAAAATTCAGAATTTAAATCAGTCTGCTAATGACTGACTGCATAGAGAAATTCAAACATAGTGAGAAAAAAAAGAATAAAGAAAATATTTTTTGTCTGATTTTTCTACCTCGATTTTTATTTGTTACGACTGGTTTCAGTTTGTTGAACCATTTTCAATTTACTTGAACGTTCAAATATTTACATCTCAAACAAATATCAACATAAAAATAAATTAATATAAGCAATTTCATGATAAAATTCAAATAATCACTCTTAGACAGTTAGTGTGTATGTAAAAGGGGCAGCTGTCGTCGCCTTCACTTTCTCAGGTTTGTCTTTTAGAATAGTTGAGTTCAGTAATGAATTCGTGATTCAGCCTCACACCATTGGTGAGACCTTGGCGGGTCAATACATCGCTGTCTGGTGTTGGATGACAAACGCTTTATTTTCGGGCTCTATTTTCATCTAGATAGTTTGTATTTTCTTTCGTTCTAGGAATTGCACTTTGAAATGTAAGACATTGTTAATCCTGGGCTCACACGATTTCAGACTTTTGAGGGTTGTCGTTCTATTCTAAATGAAAAATAAAACTCACATTTACATATCAACATCTATTACAGTTTCCTTAGGTGTAGGATAATAAATATTAGAAGCAATGTGGACTTTGAAATATTCTGGACCACATTCCTCGTAAGTCTGTTTTGTTAACAAATACTTTTTATAATCAGAAGACACCGCAAATCTTTTTGCTCCATACCAAGCAGATAAGCTACAGTTGGGCATAATATTCACATTAACCGTTGACTTGAATGGCCTAATTGAAATCAAATCTTTCAACAGGCGATCCTTCAAACCCTTCAGGTTTGCTAAGCCACCAGTAACTATAATATTTGACGCCAGTTTCAACTGATGGTCCTCGTTAAACAGTGATATAACATAACCAATTACTTCTGATAATCCTGCTTCTGATGATCCGGACATGTATGGTTTGAAAATTAGTTCAGGAGCTCGGTATTTTTCAATTCCTACATGAAGTTGATGCATTTCTCCTAAATTAGTGTTCTCGTCAAACTCAGTGGGTTCATGAGTTCTAATTATCTCTTCATATTCTAATAGTTTCTCATTTTCAGCTTCACTATCTGAGTCTCCACCTGTAACAGAAAAGTTGAATGGTTTCCACAATGAGACATTTTTTCATTGTATCCATTGAAACCGTGAGAGCTTAACTGGGTATATACAAGAAAAGAAATTGAAATTTTTCTCAAACTATTTGATCACAAATCTGTTTCAGAAGACAACTCAAATAACGGAAATATTTGCCTCAAAAATTAATAATTTAGTCCCAGTATAATTCAGCATATAAAGATCAATAACCAATGCTCTAATTCTAGAAATGAAAACTCTAATGCACCTTAGTGAAGACAGACAATTTTGAATATCAATTTGAATAGAATTTCGTAATGTTATCAGACAACATAACACTGAAATACAGGTTTGACACAAGCATCGCACTTAAAGTCATAAACTGGAAAGAGTGAAGAATGAACAGTCATCCCGAAAATATACCCGCTAGAAACACTTTCTCAGTCTTTGTAAAAAGTTTATCCCGATACTATAACTTTTCTCAACAAAATAGGACTTGCTGAATCCATGTTGATGTCTCTGATAACATTAAAAAAAATATGCAAAACTTATGAATTCATATGCTGCTAAGTAGGGAAAGTTAGAAGGACACTTTCTCTGTCTCTTTTTAGTTCCTATAGCCATTGCTTCGCATTCGAGCGCATTTAGCCAAGCTGAACAGAAGCTTCGTCCCTGGGCGCAGCGGTCTTGCTTGAGACAATGCTGCCACCCTAAGTTTTTTCATTTGCTTTATCTTTTAACAAAAACACTTCAATTCCTACTGGTTGACTCCTTCTTGGGGAGGCCTTCGGATAGAAACAACACAAATACACATGTTCATATATTTCATAGAACTAACGACCTCGTCGACATCTAGCCTGATTACTGGCGTAGGGGGGCGCCAGTCCTCTCGTATTTCACTTCATTACTTATTAAACTCAACTTCATTTTAGATTACACTTCATTTTTAGCTTCAACCTTTGGATACCCTAATTAATCACCTTAACAAAAATGGATTCTACACAATTGCATACGCAGATGACAGTTATCTTGCAGACCGGCAAATTTGTAAACACACTGTGCGATAGAGCGCAGGATGGGCTCAAATTGATAGAAACATGGTGTAAGGAACACTCACTGTCGATCAATCCCAAGAAGACTGAGATGGTCCTTTTCACCAATAGGAGGACAACTCCTTGGGAGGATGTACAATGGGTCACATGTGGCCTAAGTGCGTGGACTTACACTCACCCTCCCTACTCTACAGATACAGATAGCTTCAACCTTTTGACTACTCTCCGACCACGACATCCACGTGCCATCTTTGAGAGCAGTCGTTAGTCGTTAGTAGAATGTTGGAGGTGACTAAAGGGGAGTATTTACGTTAAAAGGTTTTCCGAATCACTGATCACTCCTTGATACTTGACATCCTTTTTATGAATTTCTTTTAATGAGAACGAATATTAATCATGACAGGAAGCTTTGAATCTAATCCTGAAAAAATACACATAGAATATATTATTATGATGCAATTGCAAACCTATCATAATTTTCCTTTCGTCAAAGGTTTGCATTGGTCATCTTCATTCGAAAGTTAAGGTTTTTATGGACAGTATGCCATAGTGTTTGTTGCATTAGTAATGTCCTGATAGGCAAGACTATTTCTTCATATCTGGTATCTGTTTGAGGCAGATTTGTACGATAAAATTCAGGTAGGTACGTGTGTTGAAGTTACAGTGAAAGGCAGTGTGTGTTGGTTATATCTAACTCATAAAACATTCCCAGACATAGATAATAAGAATATTCAGGATAGACGTAAACATCTATACATGCCAAGATGGACGGGTTCATATTTGGACTCGCTGAATGCGCAATTATCCGAATCAAGTCCCTTTTATATGGGTACCAAATTATTCAATACTTTGTCAACTTAAATGTCGCTAAGAGAATTCAAACGGTATGTGTATAAACGTTTAATTGACAAAGCCTATCACTCTGTTCATGAGTATTCAGAAGATTGTATGTAATGTGAAAAAATTGTTAATGTCTTCATAGATTCAACAAGAATGCCAACACAGTCTCCAAATGTGAATCAATTAATTGTTATATTGAATTTTTAATTTGATATATGATTTTAATCATAATTTTGAACTTTTTTTTCAACTACAGTTTTCTTTTAGATTTCATTATTGACTTGTTCCTTTGTCATCATGTATGATCAAAAAACTAATAAATATCATTATTATTATTTTGAACACAATAATAACTGAAGGAACTTAATTAATTTTGAATTGTTCAAGCATTTTCTGAAGAAAAATTATTTTGAACAGACCTTAGTGGACAATGAAGCCAATATTATTTTGACTTAACTCTTGTTTTTTTCAACAATGTTGGATGTGAAGCGTAACACCAAAAAGAAATTTGAATAGTTCAACTTTTGAAAAACTTTATATATTATTATAAGATAATTGTAGATAAAACAACTGAAAAGTAGTTTTTTGGCAATAGGTGTTACTTTTTCTTCAACAACAAAATGTATGAAAACACCCAAAAATGATTATCATATATTTATATAATGAAAAAAATTATTTTGTCAAAAATAAATGAAAAAATATTTTAGTATTTAATGTCAAAAATACATTCCAAAAGGTTTCCCAAAAACTCTTTCATCATACCAGGGTTTCAAGGTTTACGGTACTGCACTATCTAGTCTAGTATAAAACCAAATTAACAACAGTTCACTCAATACCCAGGATTATGTTCTCATGACAGTTTTTAGGAATTACAAAAAACTTTGATTAATTTTTGGAACTAGTTTTTCAGTTTGTCTGAAAACTAAAAAATGTAAGTTTTCAATTGTGAGTTACAGTAGTTATGTAGAAGTCATCCAGTGAGAGTAAAATTCAGATAAGAATAATAAAAGATCCAATGCATTTCATGATATCATAGATTATTGCATATTGAAGACCACTAAGTATGCAACACATTATTGATGAAGCAGATGACAATAGTTAGTGCATCAGCAAATTAAATCTCTGGACTGAATATACATACGTTCTGTAAGTTTTTAGGATGTTGAGGCAAATTTCCAGATGTCTGAGTCGTCTTTAATGAAGAAGTTAATAAGTGTACTAGTTATTTTTAAACCAATTAAATCACTCATACCCCCTATGGATGAATTCAACTTACCATCTTTACTGATCGTTTTGTAGATATCCCAATCCTCATCTCTGAGACCAAAATCATCAGTTCCTTTCTCCTTCCTAGCCAACTGTGATATTATTCTCATTCTCTCTTGCCCAGCTGCAGTTCTTCTTTTGAAAATATCTTGTTTTCGCTGCTTCCTAATTAATTTTTTTGTAAGAATATCTTGCCTCTACAAAATAAAAAAAACCCAGTTCATATATGAAATCGCGGAATATTATTTATTATGATGGCAAAAGAATAGTGTGTTTCATTTCCAGATGATATTTTTTCTTTCCTACCCGAAAATAGAATAAAAACTGTTTAAAAAATGAGCTACATTTCTTGAATATTTCCCTGAGAGTAATATTTCAAATAATTGGATTATGTTTAATCACAATTCTATTAAATATACAGAAATAAAAAAAATAGGTTTNTAGGTTAGAGTATAGGTAATAGGTTGTATAGCTTAGGTAATAGGTTAGAGTATAAAATGGTTGTAACTTAGAAGTAACTTTCAGTTTATGCTTGAGGAAGCTATTGTATAGCGAAACACGTGTCGCGGTTTTTGTAAAACCCTTTATAGTGAAAATAATACAATAAACTGTATTACTTAGTTTTTAAATATGGATTTTCATCAAGTATCGGCCAGTTCTATTCTTCCAGAGAAAATAAAGAGGCACTATTCCATAACAAAATTTCATACTGTGCATTTTTTCTATTACACTTGTTTTCGTTTCCAAAATGTACTTTCTATTACCAATTTCATATTTGACTGCATTTCATTGTTATTCATGTTATGTCTTTATTGTGAAATATTTTATTTTTATTATTTTATAATACTCTGTAGTTATAGTCCCTAATTATAAGCATTTATTGTTTCTTGGGACAATAAACTGAATTGAATTAGGTTTCACAATAAAAATAGTAATTCAATTGATCTTTTATTACCTAGGAACAGTCTCCATAGGGCTCATAATTAATTAATTTTAGAAAGGACTCATTTATTTATTGTTGTATATGTTCATTTATATTTCACACTGTATAGGTCATATTTTACCGATGTGTGTAGACAGTGAAGTCTGTCATTCTGTTATCACTTTTGAATTGTTATTTTCAGCTATTCATTTTTAGTTCTTCTTTTTTAGTTGTTTCAGGGATTTCAAATCATTTTATATAGTAGACAATGGAAGTCCGAACTAGTGAAATTCATCATGAAACATTGTCAATCATTTTCAAACCATTTATAGTGTTCATTGATTCATATTCCAATTGAAAAATACCTTAAATATTAATATACTAGCTGATCTTATGAGTCTTTACCGTAAATCAGTTAGATTTTTCCACTTTAATTTCATATTGGTTAGATATTTTATGTAGTTCTATTGCATAATCAATGTTGGCTTTGTTACGAGGCGGCTAATAGGTAGTCCTTTGTCAACTTTTTTCTCTTTGTCTATAAAACCAATTTTTGCAAACCAAACTCGTTATTTTTTGTCGACCAGGCCCCGACCTCTGATCACCAGCATCATTGAGCAATGATAACTCCCAACATCGTGCGATAACTGATCATATAGTTCGAGATGATTTTAGAAATCAAGACAAACATATTTCTGTATTTATCTGGCCAAAATTTCTCCCAAATATTTCCCACCAAAAATATCTCCTGTAGCGTAAGCCAATTCGTCAATACCACATTAGTGCCGTTGATGGTAATGAAGCACTCATAAGGCATATTGATGCCAATGGATTAACGATGAGGCCATACATGCCGGACATGCCCAGTGGTTTTAGGCACCTTGTAACAAGCTCTACATATGTAGAGTTATTCTAGTAAAACGCTTCGATAGTGGTTCTAGCTGTAGTAGGCCACAATAGTATGATATCATATGCACAAATTTTCTGTTGCCATAAAAACAAATCTAACAGCTCCATAAAATTACCAGAATAACCCTGCCGATATGAGTAATCCATGTTCTTCCAGAATTTGTTTAAATCCCTCTGTAGTCAACTCTAGCCCTCTTGACCTGTGGAAAACAAAGTTGATTTGAGAAATCGACGTCTTCAATGTTCAACGATGAATTGCCTTATCTTTATTCAGCAAGTTATTAAGAAGCAAAGTCGTCTCTGCGACTTTAATACAGACCATTCGCCAAAAGGGAACCAAATCAATGTCAATTGCTCCAACTCCTCCTCTCTCAGTATCGTGAACCATGCAGAGAACGAAATATGAATTCCTGATTATCTTATACAGGCTCCTTCTAATATCCTGTTATAAATGAATATTAATGTATATAGGTGGAACGGTGAACTGCTTCGTTCTACTCATTCAATCCATCGCTATATAAATGTTGGTTTAATTATAATTGTCGGACAATCGATATTCACTGCGTATCCTCTAACCAATGCTACGAATCGTATGTTAGGTTATGTTATTCGATAATCCTCAGCTCGCTCGTTTCGACTTCTGAAGGTTGTCATTTGTAAGGGAGCGACAGCTTGTTAACGGAAAAACACATTTCAAACACACACACACAATTATAAAACAAATTCGTTTTGCAACAGCAGGTGACTTCAAATCGAGTTTCAAATACAATTATTACTTATTTCAAAAATATAACAACGTAACAATTTTAATAACATTATAGGAGTTAAGGGACATTTCTATATGTCATTGGTGGATGTTTTATAATGGATCGAAGGAACCAGTGCTATCTCCAGGTTTGAAACCTACTGAACATAAATGAACATAAATGAAAGCCGAAAACCTATTATTTGCCACTGAATGAACAATGATCAGTCATGCAACAAAAATGGTATTTGAAATGTTGCTAAGAACATTTAGTTTAAAGATTGAAAATAAGTTATTGGAAGTTTATTTCAACATCACATTCTTTTTCCCAGTGAATAGTCATTTATTAGTCAAAACAAACATTACACATTTACAATTTTCTCTGTCACACTAAGGCAAGAACTTGAAAGATACGTAATGTAGGTATACATAAATGTTCAGATTGTAAATATACCAAAATTTATCCAATACTTACCCTACCTATGTGTCAAATGTTTTGAAATCGATAAGTAGATAGGTTCCTACAACAAAGTTCAACCGGGACGTCTCGTCTGGAGAAAACACCGATCAATAATATTTAAGGTGGCCCAGGTTATGGATTGAATTCTTTATAAACATCATTTTACGTGGGTTGAAATAATTTCGTTTTGTATATTCAAGAAAATTTTAAATAGTACTCACTGTTCATTAAGGACTGGGGCAATCTTCAGAATGTTGTCCAGGAATTTATTGTCATTACATAAAATTGTCGGTGTTTGAGGTTGGCTATTCACATTCAATAATCTGAAGAGAATACATATAATAACTGCGATCGCAGCTAACACAACTGTTGACATCCTCTTCACAACCGGTGCCTAAGCATCAAGCACGACCACCACCTCACCTCGCTAAAAATATATTACTAATAGGAATTTGCCGGCATGGAACATATAGGATTGGCGGCTCCTTACGAACCTTCAAGTGGCATGGTCCGATTTTGCACGAGCATCAGCTGTTGGATGGGCGTGGAATGATGAGATAATCAATCAAAAGTAAATGGGAAAGGATTGTTCGCGCTGCTGTGATTTTTGAATTTGAGTCGTTTCAACTTCTTCAAGTTATGGTAAATCAATAAATGTTGACGTTGTTTCACTCACATCATGATTTTGTTAGTTTGAGATGATATCGAAATGGTAGATTAAAATGGTTACTGAATTTGATGGTAGTGAGTCACGTCAATATAAGGAGAATCTGTCAAAGTTTGGCTTTAGGCATACGCCCACTTGTCACTATATTCGGATCTTATCATATTATCATATACCTACATAGGCAAGTAGATAAAATAAAGTTGTGATATAGAAAGGTAGGTATATATATTAAATTGAAATGGGTAGGTATTTTCTAGGAGAGAATAATTTTTTGGGAATCGTTTTGGCTCTCTACTTCTCCATCACACAGCGAGTGTGCTTTAGACCACACGACTGAAGTAAAACTTCTTCAGCTCCATTTATACAGGGTGTTTCAAATTCGATCCTCACCATTGGGATCTCGGAAACCATGAGAGATACGAAAATGGTTAAATTGGGGCAAAGTTGCGCATTCATCTGACTAACAATAAACAATAAACACAAGTAAATTCACTCCCGGTCTGTGTCTTTGATGTTTCCGGTCAAGATTTTATTTTTTGCTAGCATGTTGCGGGCTAGAAGGGTGTAGGCTGAGAGCTATCGTGTACCTCTGCACGAGGTGCGATCAAAAAGTATGTGACCATGATCTGAATTCATCATTGCTACGAGGAGCTCACAATAAATATCTTATACGATTGTGAACTGTTTACGAATTGATGAAAAATAAGACAAGGTGGTGAAATGAACATATATTTTGTAAAGTAAGATTATACAATTTAGGTCAAAAACTCATGCTATTCTATTCTAAAGGTTTTCCAGAGTGATGAGTTTTTGATTTTTTCAACATTTGTTTTCAAATTTCTATTGGCAAATTTCAAAGTATAATAAATTTATACCCTTGTGAAAAGATTAAACCTCTAAATAAAGGGGAAGATATATGTTGTATATGTTCATTTATATTTCACACTGTATAGGTCATATTTTACCGATGTGTGTAGACAGTGAAGTCTGTCATTCTGTTATCACTTTTTCCATATGCATTTTTGTAATAAAGTATTACGTATTTCTTAACAAGAATTTACATATACAACATTTATCATACAGCTTGTCGAAACCTAAGGAGAAATCTATTCATGACAGAGTACGCTAGGATGGAAAAAGGCAGAAATTTGTTCAAGAAGGTGAGTACTGCACTGCAGACTCTTACCGTCTGTACATACTGTGGGCAGTACCATATCGAAATTAAGAAAGCCTTTCCTACTTTCGACAGTCTAATTGAATATATATTTTACCTTTTTTCCAAAAAATCATTTAAATAATTTTGTTGAATTCAAGTTCATTGTTGAACTGCTGGTACCAGTTAATATTTGTTTGTAACCATAAGAAGCACTGGTGTAGGCACATATTATATTTATGGAACTGGAAAACCTTCAGATATGCACTAAAATTAAAATGTCATTTTATGTGAGTTATGATTCCTTAGTAATTATTGGTAACAATCGATTGCCAAATATGCGCCAAACTAGGTTAGGTTAGGTCTAAAGTGAGTGGTTCTATTCGTCCCTCCACCGCAACCTGCAAGAGTTCATTGTGGCTCACACCTATTCACACTCAACCAAATAAACCCAGCTTCTTAACGAAGCTGATTAGTTTGTATGATGAGTGGTCTTTCAGGTCAGATGGTAAGTGTACGGCTCTGCCGAACTCTAAAAACCTGATTCGGTCCCCAGCGGGGCGGGCACAAAGTATATCTGTTTAAAAAGATGTTTTTCCGTTAATCAGCTGTCGTCCCCATACGAACGACAACTCTCAGAAGTTGAGAAACTTGTGCGAGCTAAGGACTAACGAGGTCTTACCTTTCAACGTGTGATTCCTAACACGGTTGCAGAATCATTCCAGCTTCAACCATATAAATTCTCTCGAGAAAAATATCTGGTCGAGGCGGGAATCGAACCCACGGTCTCTGGTATTTCATCATTTTCCAAACAGAGGCGACACACACTGTCTTCCGACAGTCCGAGTCTCTGCATATGATGATTCAAATGACAGTGACCTGTAAAAGGCCTGTTAGACATCATAGTTCATCCCTACTGTAGTCCAACGAATGTTTGGTATCAATCTTCGAAGGGTGAATAAACACCTTAGACTGAGTCAATCCTGGAAGATTCTGCCAGAAGTCCATAAATATTCTTGCCATCCAGGTGTTCAATGTTTGTTTGGCAAAGCCTAAAGCGATGCCAATGACAGGTTCTGGTCCCGATGAAGCTGCTTGCAGCACCCTCCTTTGCAAGGGAGTCAGCAGCTTCATTGACTTCCAGGCCAGTATGGCCAGGAATTCAGACCAGAGACGATCTGTTAAGTCATCCTATCGAGGAGAGTCGTTTTTGGCAATTTGCTACCAATTTAGACGTTGCTCGGTAGGAGCCAAGAGCTTCCAACGCCGCTTGACTGTCCGAGAATATTTTTATTGACTTGTGTAAGAGGTTGAATTTATCCAATCTCTCCGCACACAATTCAATAGCATAAATTTCCGTTTAAAATACAGTCGCATAAGTTCCTAGACAGATAGATATCTCTGTCCTAGGATGCGACTAAAAACACCCGTACCAGAACCGGAAGGTGTTTTTGATCCCTCTGTGAACCAACAACTATCTGCTCTTTATATTTCCTTCGTAGTTGACAGGTCATTTCCAGAATGCTGTGACTTCCAGTGTCAACCAACAGTCTGTTGCACTCTGCATTAAATTGATTTGTGCAATTGGCGATGTGCACAAGTCTGTATGCAGTCCATCTAGCCTCTCTCTCCAGAAGAATGTGGAGAGGAGGTAGATCTAGAAGGATTTCCATGGCCGCTGACGGTGTGGTACTTATGGCACCACTGATAGCCAGACAAGCCCGGTGATGATCGATTGTATTGCCAAACATGCGTCAAACTAACTGACTATTATAAAAAAATAGGTATAGCTGAGGCACCAGTCAATATAATAATAACATGACTCAATCTCTGACGGAAGCACCAAACTCTCAAGAAGGTTCCAAATAGATGAACACTTCAATCTAGCAGACCACTATTATAATATTCATGCAGTCATTGTTCACTGTGGTTCTGGCATTGAATTTGGTCATTATTACGCCTTGGTCAATGACGAATCGGACTGGTTTAAGTTTGACGATAGTCGTGTCACGAAGTGTTCTGGCGATGTATTGAATTTATTGGAGCCTCTGGAGCACTCTACATTTTATTCCATGAAAGAGAGGACATTGGCAGATCACGATCTTCAGATGATGTGGAGCTGCCGGTTTTTCCGGGTTTTCCTGCAGCTGAAAAAGCAAATGCGCCACTGGAATCAATGAAGTCGCCCTTGAGCGCCAATTAATTTTTGATGTTGTTTTATAATTTCATGATTTGTATTGAAAATAAATTTTACCAAGAATGGTTAACTTGAAAGCCTCATAGTCTATTGATAATATTGTCTATTTCTATGTATGATCAATAACTTCAAAATTATTAGGGCTGAAATATTAGACGCAATCGGCCGATACTTGATGAAAATACATAACGTATTCAAAAAAAATGTTTGTGAGATTTTCATTAAACAGTTTTACAAAAACACGTGTTTCGCCATAAAATGGCTTCTTCAGGCGAACCTTTACGAAAAAGTCATTGTATAGCAAAACACGTGTTGCGTTTTTGTAAAACTGTTTAGTGAAAATCTCACAATGAAGAGTTTTTTAAATAAATTAGAACTGAATGTCTACTTTTATCAAAATCAATCTTTCAACTATGGATATACAGCTTCAGATCATAGAAACTTTTGTGTAACAAATTCAATGTTCTACAAAAGCTTTACAATTTTTTTCCAAAAGAAAATTGTTATTACTAGAAAATTGAGTTCACCCAAAAATGCTTTCTTTAGGTATTATTCAAATGAAAAATTGAACTTTTAGATGAGCGAGAAACTTAATTCACTTAAAAATTTTTCCAACAGGATTTTTTCTATGCAGTATCAAATATATTCAGGTAGAAAGGAAAAAAATATATTATTCAAAAATGAAACCCCGTACTAAACACATGTGCCAACTGGCTGCCTCCCTGTAAGTGTGACATTCAAACATATTATGCGTTGGTGAGTCATACGTTTTCATGAACATGACAGTTATTGGTTGTTTCTGAAGTGTTGTCCGGTTTAATGTCAAGTGTTTTTGTAGCTCCATATCTCAATAAATATTTATTCTACTATATCATGGTATATATACTGATCGATAGAGAATTTCAAATCGTAGCCTCTTTCCAGCTTATTACCATGATGTCGTTAAGAGATTTCAGCCAAATTTTCTCTGCAAATTCAAATTGAACAGCCCGAAAAATTAACCAGGCATTTGGCAATGATTGTGTTGATGAACGCACTGTTCGACGATGGTTTGCGAAATTTCGTTTCGGAAATTTTAGCCTTGAAGATGAGCCCCGACTTACAGGGGACAGGACGAGGATTTGAGGACCCTAGTGGAGCTCGATCATAAACAGTGCGTGGGATAGCGAAGAACTGGGTGTCAGCTCCCATGCGGTTTTTGATGGTTTAAAACATATTGAAAAGGGCAAGAACCTAGAAAAGTGGGTGCCCCAACAGAAATGATCACGTTTCAAGGTCTGTTCTTCTTTGCTTTTGCGAAACCAAAACGAACCTTTTTGAATAGGATCGTCACGTTTGATGAAAAGGCGATTCTCTACGCTCAGGACAGTGGTTGATCGATGAGGCACCCACTAAAAGACCATGGTTACTATATGGTGATCACATCACAACAGAGTCCTATTGTGAGTAAATCGACGAAATGTATCGAAAATTGCAACAGCAGCAGCCGGCACTGTCCTGCTGCAAGACAACTCCCGTCCGCACGTTTAATAATTTACCGTCCGAGAATTTGACGAAGTTGTGCCTTGCTCACCATACTCTACAGACTTCTCGCCAGCCGATTACCATTTTTGCATGCACTTTGATAACTTTCTCACTGGTAGACCCTTCGCTGATAAGGACAAGGCAAAACGGCTTCATCAATTTCATTGAATCCCAAGCACACAATTTTTATGCTAACGGAATTAATCGACTTGCGTTATATTGACAAAAGTGCACTGATTCAAATGTCGCTTATTTCGAATAAATTGAATAAATATTCACTGATACATTACAGTTTAATGTAGCCTCATAAAAACGGAAAAATCTTTTGAAACAATCTAATATAATGGTCAGTGTTTCATCCAAGGAATGTTTCATGTATGGATCAAAATTAACCACAGCTCTAGAAACTTTTGTATCAATTTAGCAGAATAACCCAGTGGTATATTGAATTGTTCTGAATTGCTAAAGAGTATATTATGGTCATTGTTTCATCCAAGGAATGTTTCATGTATGGATCAAAATTAACCACAGCTCTAGAAACTTTTGTATCAATTTAGCAGAATAACCCAGTGGTATATTGAATTGTTCTGAATTGCTAAAGAGTATATTATGGTCATTGTTTCATCCAAGGAATGTTTCATGTATGGATCAAAATTAACCACAGCTCTAGAAACTTTTGTATCAATTTAGCAGAATAACCCAGTGGTATATTGAATTGTTCTGAATTGCTAAAGAGTATATTATGATTGTATTCATTACTTTTGTTCCTAAATTTACCTTTTAACATAATTGAAGAAAATGAACAGTGTCTCCAATAAATGAAAGTATCATGTTTTATAATAGGTTTTTCGTAGAAAGAGGTATCCATGGATGTTCTGGGAAGAGGATTTTTGTTTTCATGACTGTTTGATTAAGACTTACCATTTTTTTAACATTGTCTAAGAATGAATTTAAAGCACCTTCATTTTCGAAAATCATTTTTGAATGTTTCGCTTGTTTCACAGGTGGTTCCTCGACTTCTTCTAAATTACTTGAAGCTATCTTTTGTTTTATCTTCTCTATTTTCATATTTAGATTGGCTATGACTTTTTGCAATTCTGATACATTTTTAATTTCATATTCTGCCAGGAGGGTTTCAACTTCATCTTTGTCAGCTCCAGAATCAATGATCTCCTGAATTTCCAGTAAGTTTCTTAGTTTTTCTTGATCTTCAGCTAACCTCTCCTCTCTTTTTCTTGCATTGATTTCAGTTAGCCGCCTGGCCAGCTCACGCTTTCTCTCTTTTTGTTGTTCTACTAAAAGTATTTTTCATAAATATTTCTCGTTCAAATTGAAATGAGAGATTGAACAATGAACTATATGAACATTGAATTATATAATAAACTATTTTTGCTATTCAGTTTGTACTCTAAACATTCGATTTGGAATTGAATCAGATATCATTCACAGGATTGCTATACATTATAGTATAAGAAAAAGGTAAAATTTCACTTGATGGACCACTGTCATCCTCAATGGCAGACATCCCATGTTTCAGAATAAGATACTTGCCTTATTGCCTCTTCGGCACCAATCTGGTGATTTCTCCCTTTCATTGGAAGATTCCCACATTCTTTTGAATATAAATAGAGGAATGTTTTCAATAATTTTTCAACTTACATGTCAAAGCTGATGTACTTCCTATAGACGTATAAGGAAGCTGAATTTTAGTGGTACTGGCCTCATAATATTCACTATCCGTCCATTTACTCAATTCTTCTCGATAATCAAGGGCAACAGCACATATTGAATGTAGTAGTTCTTCTGCTCGACTCAAAGTAATGGCTGCTGCATGTGCTGGATATTTCAACTGAAGAATCCTGTGAAGGAAAGTTATTACATTCCAACCACCTATATTTAATCTCCGGGCGTTTTCAAATATTGTTTTCTTTCCCAGAACTGGGATCACGTGACAAGTTTGATAACCCAAGTTAATTATAAGTGCATTTTCTGAAGGGTTATCTTGTGAAAAATGGTATGCAAACTGGGAGTCCACACCATATACTATTCCAGGTACTCCATAACCTTCAAATAGGAGTTCAGACATCACTGAAACAACAAATTAAATATAGTTTAACCAATAAAATAGGTTACCACTTATTTTCTCAAAATTATAGTAAATGGATTTACTTACACTGTCTTGAAGTATTAGGATTCAGAAAAGCTTCAGTCAAAATTATTGGGTGTTCAACAGAATTTTCAGTATCAATACCCAAATGGCTAAAAGTGTAGTCAAACAAATGTTCTTGGGCCTCGAAGTGAGTTACGATATTGCGATCAAACTGAGTTTTTAGTTGAAATCTTACTGCTTCTATATTCACTATATCATTTCCGATTTGGAGTTGAGGTGTCTGAGGAATTTCAATGTTGTCTTTTTTAGATCTCTCCTTACGGGGTTTTGCAATTATATTTTTGAAAAATAGCAAAGGTTTTTCGCTGGTTGCCCAACCAACCCTGGACATATATGATCCTGAAAAGTGGAACAATAAAAAACCAGTATTCAGAAAATATGAATCTCACCATTATCAATCACTATTGGTACATGATTTTTCCTCAAATCAGACGAGTATAAATGTACGATATCAGGAGTGAACTTGCTATCTTTGAATTCCAGTACATCCATTTTATTCAAAAGCTTTTTGAGTCTGTAATACCACAGGTAATGTCTTTTGTCTGATATAAATTTGAATTTATTTATCTTTCACATCATAGTTTAGCTGTGGTACTTGATATCATTATGCTTGATATTGAAACTTTCTTTAGTTTTATCGGTTTTTACATAGAAATGTCTATGGCTTTTTCATACATGAACTTTTTATGTTTTTAATTGTTATTGACTTAATTTTGAGGTTACCCATTTGCTTCTTTGAGATATGTTCCAAAAATAATCCCTTCTCAACGGCTACTTATCAGAAAAAATGGTATTCAGTAAATGTAGTTGGAAATTAGGTAAATAGAGGAAGGTATTAATTATAAATGGGTAGCTTGATAATAAACTGGTAAATAGTTTGCTTAATATAGGAAATCTCTTCAGAGTAATAGGGAATTATTGGAAACGCTATAAGGTAAATGCCTTATTATGGTCGTTCCGAAAATGGGAGGTGCGCATGCGCACTAGAAAAAATTTAATAAGGAAACCTTAATAAAATACTGCTTTCCCCTATTTACGACTAGATACGGTAAGTATTTAACGTTATAATATCACAGATACCCGTAGTTATATCAAATATATGCAATTAATTATTGAAGAGGTTAAGGAGTAGTGAAAGGTTTTCATCTAACTGGTCATTAGTAAATTATTGGATTGTTTTCTTCTGTTAGTTGATCTCAAGTACTTCTAAGAAATTAAGTTCCAAGTATTTTGTTTCTGAATGTAAAATTTCAAAATTTGGATAAAAAGTATGTTTTTCATCTATGTGATTTGAATAATTGGAATCTCTCGTGTTTATCGAAGCATCTTTTATGTTTAAAAATGCAGGTTTTGAATTTTCTGAAAGTTCTACCGACATATATTTTAGAGTAATCGCTTCACATTTCGATTTGTAAATCCCAGATTTTTGTGATTTTCCGGATTTAGTTTTATTGTTTTTAATGAATTTGCTTAAGTTATCATCAGGCTACTCATTTATAATTGATATCCCCTTCTATTTACCTAATTTTAAACTACTATAAATCTGTCTGTACATTTACTGGATACCATTTCTGTTTGAAAAAGCTATAGAAATAGCGAAACATTACAAGTAGTATTATATATTGTGGATATTTTAAAAACAAGTATTTTTTCATTTAATTCCTAGTAATTATGCATATTCATCGTTACTATACTGTGCCAGAAAGTTCGTATATATAGGGAGGGTTACGGAATATAGTCGACTTTAGACGAAGATATAGTCATCATGGTCTCCCCTGAAAACACCAAATGAAGATCAAAGGCGCAGCCTTAAAGTTCCAATTTTTTTCTATTCTGTGACGTGACTCTTGAATAAGCAGTGAGCTTTCTGGCCGGATAGCATAGTAGATCAGGCCATTACGTCAAAAAAAAAAAGTCAAATGTTGCATGTCGTATACGTCTAACTGATTTGGGCGCCATGAAATTTTTAGGCTGTTGATGTTTTGTTTAAATAAGAAAGTTCAGAATACTTGTTTATAGTTTCAAACTCCTAATTTCAATTAATAACGAATATACATTCATAAACTAATTATTTTGGTACTACAACATATATGGTAATATTTGTTTGGTCAAACAAAGATGAAGAAATCTAATTTCAAAGTTGGTGATAAAGTTTTCGCTAAAGTAAAAGGATACCCTCCGTGGCCTGCACACGTAAGTTTGAGCTCGTATTCGTGTTATTTGTTTTCACTTACGAACATTTTTCAGATTGTAGCAGAAAATGGAAAGAAATTTAATGTTGAATTTTATGGAACCAAAGAAACGTAAGTATAGAGTGGAACATGATTAGCACCCGCTTTATGCAACTGGAATTAGCATTAGTTAACATTAAATTCAGAGACTGGTGATTGGTTGATGAAAACTATTTTTTAGTTTAGTGTCTGGGTAATCCAAAAGCTGAAAGGAGCATTATAATTTTAGCTAAGAGATTAAGAACCCTAGATAAATAGGAATTTGCCGACAAGCTTTTGTCGAGTCTGAGATGATTGTGCGATTATTCCTTACAGATTACTCTTTAACAAACCAAACAATTTTTAATGAAAAGACTAAGAACAGACTTCTGTTTTCACCCGAAGTGGATTTTATGCAAATTGATGCTCTTGATACTATAAAGATTATTTTCAATTGGAGCAGTTTGTTGAGTCAATCCCAAATTAACTAGCTTGATATTTTATCCATTACAATATTTTTAGTAAAACTTTCAAAAGAGTTCAACATGTTTCATATCCTGATTCACCTATACAACAGTTATATTAGATAGAATCGTCTGATGTTTGATGAAAATCCATAATTTATTCAAGAAACACTTTATTGTGAGATTTTCACTAAACAATTTTACAAAAATTCAACACATTTTTCGTTAGACAATAGCTTCTTCAGAAGTATATATACTGAAGTGTTGAACAGTAATATTCTTTTAGTGAAGTGTCAAATGAAGCAAGGTGGTACGGGGAAAGATCTGTCGACATACGGAAATGACATTTATAGAGCAACTTTAAAAGATTTCAGCACCATCTGATCATTTGTAAAAAAAAAAGAAAATTTTGTCTATTTCAAAGTCAATACTAATTATCACACACATGTTTATAATATTAGAAGTAATAACCACATTGGCATCACCCACATAAAAGCACTGTGGTAAACAAGTATTAATGTATAAGACAAGAAAGAAGTTCAATCACCTACCAAAAAGTATTTGATGAATAACTACAAAGTGAATATTCAAAAAGGCACTTGAAGAAATGTTATTAAACAATTCATATTTCATTAGTTTACAGACAATACTTTAAACTATCTTACATTTCCCTTGACAACATTTCTTCATCCATTGATGAAACTGAGAAAGATTTTTTTTTCTGTAAAATAACTGTTGCAAATAATCTGAAGTTGACTCCCCCCTCTAAATCTGAACATACTTTTCACCTCAAAAGTGAAGCTCAATCTGCTGTATCAAAACTTTAACATCAATATTGCAGGGTTTGATGTATCATAAAATTTAGACTTGGGGTTGGATTCGGAACTACTGTTTTCTAAACACACCAGTCAACTCTGTAGAACTTATATGTTTGGAGGCAATACAAATTCTGAGATGTTCCTAGTACATATTCATTCGAGAAGTTATGCCTATTTTTGTTCCATTTCTGGACTGATGAGGGAAGCAAACCACCAGGTTGACGACTCAGACTTATTCAACATATCTGCTGCAATATTCAAATCGAAGTTTATGTCGGCACACTAATTTTTTATAATTTGTATTTTTTAATGTTGGTGTAATATTAGTATGTGAAATGTAATGTTTTTGTATGTCACATTGTATTACCTGCAGGGGTTACCTGTTTACTTTCTGAAAGATTGTTTGGTTAGGACCCTTCTTCCTAAGATCCAGTAGTTTCGGTGGATGTGACGACCACTCTCCACAAAGTTAGATAATATTCATTGGGTCTGAAAATTACGTTGAGATACAATGAGCCAAGAAAAATAGTCTCCTGTATTTATTTGGCTAAGACTTCTGACTTATTGGATCACTATTATTATTAAAACTCACGCCTGATTGACTAATAATAAATTGATGGATGTAGTCATTACTATGTGGTGTGAGATCATCATGAAAAATGAGAAATAAAACTTCCTATGTTTCTATACCACTTGTGTAATTAATGTTACTGCAGTTTCGTCCCATAAGAAATTTTCAAATAAATATTGTATTTGTTTGAAAATGTCCTTATAGGATGAAACTGCAGTTAACGTTAGTTACAAATAGAAGTGGTATTAAAACATTGTAATTTTCATTTTTTTTATAACTTTAAGAAACAGTTGGTTGCCAAAAAAGGGGTAAAATAGCACTAACGAACAGAGTCAATTACAGGAACCTACCACACATTTGTGATTTCAATTAGGAGAGTTAGAATATCTAGGATATCCTAACGTCACCACGGAAGCAGCTACCTGCGTGACTTCCTGGTCCAGGATATAAATATAAAGAAGGAGGTGTTATCGAGTGTATATGATTTAACTCTGGCCAATAGCCAGAAACGTGTCCACGGTTTGCCAATAATTTTTCTTGAGTGCTGTTCGGACTAATCCTTTTCATTTTGAATTAAATCATATACACTCAATAACACCTCCTTTTTTATATTATAATTATGTATATATAATTATATACATTTGCAAACACTACTTAGGTAGTATTTGCAAATGTTTTAAAATTAAACATGTAAGTTCAATAATATATCAATACAAAAGTCTTCTCTCTTATAATAGATTTGTTGTCAAATCTCAGTCGAATAAAAAACTGAAAATATTTTATCCAGCTCTAGATTCCAACTCACCATAAATCTGCTAATTTTGCCATTTATAAGTTGTCACTTTTCCACTCACTGAAATTGTATATGAAATTTTGTATGGTTTTTTGTTTCAAAATATATATATGGACATTTCTTTCAATATTAACAGATTATTCTCTTCTTTTTAGAGGTGTAATCAAAATTGAAGATCTTTCCTATTACACCAAAAATAAAGAAAAATTTCAAAAGCCCTTGAAGCGTAAGGATTACGTTGACGCCTTTGAACAGATAGAAGCTGCCATATTGGAAGATGGAGGTGATGGAGATGAAAATCCTGATACTAATGACTCTATATCTAATGTAAGTCAATGCCTTAAAATTTTGAAAATGTCATAAATGTATTATTATTATTATCCTAGATTTCTATGAACTCTTCAATCCCTCTCAATGTATCAGCAAAAGAAAAAAAAACTTTGAAAAAAGATAAACCAACAACAAAATCTTCAGACTCAAATGAATCAATTAGCGACAAAAATGAAGTGAGTATTATGATGTTTACCAATGACTTTTATATTGATTGAAATACATTCATTTATTAGGCATCTCAGAATGAAGTTGAAACTCCTGCCAGTACACCGAAAGACAAAAAATCTACTAAAAGAGATCGATCTGTTTCTGGAAAACCTACAGAAGGTTCACCTGCAAAAAAATCTGCCCGTTTATCAAAACCAGATGAAGGTGAATAATTTCTATTCAAAAATTCAAACTAGCTTGGCCTTATCAATGTCAATACAAAACCATAGCTGTCTATCTTGTATTCACAGACTCGCAAATGCTTATGAATAATTAAGATTTCTTCAGTCTCTCATTGTCCAAGTCTCACCCTACATGTTGTCTCGTAAACATTTTGACTTTCTTTTTGAATGTTCTCTCAATGTGCAACCATATTTTATTATTCTATATGATTTTATAATGCTTATTTGAGCTATTCATCTAATTGTTAATGTGCAAATTGTTCGATTTTATGTTATCGCTTGTGAAAATGTATAATAAGATATCTAATGTCTTACGATCTCAAAATTATCACAATAATTGTTATCTCTTTCTAACTGTCACAATCTAATTCATCTATAATTAAAAAACATTTAGATAAGTTAATACTAACGATATCACATTCATAATTGTAAATAAGAATAATATATTTAAGGATCCATTACCTCTGAAGAAAATGAAACGATGGAAGCTGAACTAGCTACTCCAGTAAAAAAATCTCCTCGAAATCAAAAGCTAAAGAAGGAGAAAGAAAAGGATACTGATAATGAAGAGTCGTCAAAGGCCAAAGAGTAAGTATTTCAATCATGTAAATTCAAAACACTACATCTTCACTTTTCTATCTGTGCATGGTGAATTTGATGAAGTTAGAGAGGCTTGAAGTTCTACTACACTACTCAAAACTTCGATTTCTTTATTTCATATTAACGAAAGTACTTCTATTTGTCTTCGAAACTTACCCCAATTTATTTTGTTCATGTTTGAGCCATTTTACTGCAAGTTGATATTTTTCTGAATGTGTATTCGCAATGTATCTGATGAGTTGCGAAATGAAAGACAAAAATACTAGTCTATACTAGTGTTTCTTAGATAAACAATAATAAAAAAACACAAAAGTTTATTTCAATCCCATAGATGTCTTCATAAAAAGAAAATAACCACATTTTCTTATACTGAGGTTTGTTCTTTGAAAAGAGTGAAGAGTGGAATCAATTAGTATGATGTATATTGATGAAGTTATTCATAATTAGGATTCAAAAAAGCGGCATGCATCTGAGTTCTTTCAAGAGTGTTTTTTTTCCTGGAAAAAAATAACAGAAATTTCACAGGTGTTTTACAATAACATAAAAAGTTGCTTGAATAGTTATTGGTCAATTTGATTAACCAGTTTTCAAATTAGAGATAATCATGAACTTCAGGTCTATAAACTTTTGAGAAATAAATGTTTTTTTAATCAGCGGCAAATATGGGTTTTGCATAGTCTGGAATATAGAATTGGCTTCAAATCATTATATATAATTAACAAAAAATAGTTTTCATCTGAATAGCTCTGCTCTCAACAAATTACTTTAGTCTCATCTCAATTTATTTCACACATTTGCAAAATCATTTAACGTAATTATTCAGTACCCAAGCTTGCACTAATACAAAAATCAATGTTTTTAAACTGTTGAACTGCATACTTACATTATGGCTATACATGTTTTGGTCAGTTTCAGGCGTTTCATGATTGGTTACCCTGATACTTAATATGAAATATAATAAAGATGTGTAATTTCTGTGATTTTAATTGAAACATTTGAAATTTTGACATGTACTCGTTGTCTTAAGGTAAACAATATCAACTTAAAAATTTTTCAATTAAATTACAGTCTTCCTTTTATTATTAAATGTCAAATATCAGTATTGCCATTCATGAAACGCTTGAAACATTTACAACCATTTTGACTTGAATATGGTCAATTTAGCAAGAAACCTTTTCATTACAATATTGAGCCAGAATGAAGGCATTGTTGTCAAATTGACATATGATTTGAAATTTTATTTTTAATTTTCTGAGATTTGTTATCTGATGATACGACTCAGTACCATATTACATTATTTTAATAGAGTTTTGTAATTTTGTTGACTTTATTTTTGCTTTCAAAACATTGGTAACACTACCTTCTTTTTGTGATATTAATTTTTATTCTATGCAAAATAGCAAATTCAGCTTTGTTTTATATCACCCTAAACATGCATTCTAGAATGAAGAAACTTAAAATAATAATCATAATAATAATAATACTCATACATCCACAACACAAAAAAGTTATTATTTATACACCCGCCCAAATGAACCAAAAAAAAAAAAATTGGCATTCCACGAAGATTGGATTCGACTAGTATTTTGAAAAGTGGTTTGACTGGGTGCTTTCAATTGTATCAGTCGGATCACTATTAAATAATATCAACAGCTTTTTATAAAAAAGGTTGTTTGAATAACTGCTCTTGTGTGTTGGTAACATACACTTTAAGCTAAATGTTGTTTCGTAATCGAGTATATATGACACTTTAAGTAATTCCGAAATTATGTATATAACAGCCGAGTTTATTTTGAAAAAAGTCAGAATTACAAAAATTAAAACAATTGTAGTTATAAAAATTGAATATGTCATGCCAAAGCCGCATGAACTCATTCAGTCTAGATGGTCCGAGAGAAATTCACCAATACTATAGTAGGCCTTAGAAAGAAGCAATGTTTTAACTGCTTTTTTAAATGCTACAGTGTTCATCTGTTTGAAATGGTCTGGTAACCGATTGAATAATTTTATTCCCATATATTTGGGGGAATGTTCGAATTTTATGTTTTATGTTTAGGAATGCTCAACTCCTCTGCATATCGAGTTGGGTAGCTATGATAGAATGAGTTCTTAGTACAGTCTGTTATACATTCGCGAACATATAAAAGTATTTTAAAGATGTAGATGCAGGGAAAGGTTAAAATTTGATGACTAATGAAAAATATCTTGCATGATTCCCTCCAAGGGATGCCTAGTATCTTCCTAATAACTTTTTTTTGAGCAATGAAAACCCTATCTTTGTCAACACTGTTTCCCCATAGGATCACATTATAACTTAGATGGCTATAAACCAGACTGTAATATACATAAGAAATGGCAAGTAAAGGCATACAATTCTTAATTCTTGAGATTGCATAATACCCTCGATTGATTTTTTTACATACAACTGTGATATGGTCAGACCACTTCAAACAGTTGTCTACATGAACGCCAAGGAATTTTGTACAGCTTGTGCATGCCTGCCATTCCATTGATTAGTAAGGCAAGCGATTGCTTTTTCAGATCGTTTTTTAAATTAAAATAGATATATTTTGTTTTGGTCAAGTTTACAATCAGATTGTTCATTTCACACCAAATTGAGAACAGTGATATTATTTCCTCTGTTTTTTATTTTAATTCCTCCTGACTCTCTGCTGATACAGCTAAAGACGTGTCATCTGCAAAAAGAGTGAGAGCATATTCATTACAGATGAAATAAGTAGGCAGATCATTTACAAACAACAGAAACATCAGCGGACCTAACACAGAGCCTTGAGGAACTCCAGAACATATATCATGATAGTCTGATTTCATATCTTTAATCTTGACGAACATCATACGATCTGTAAGAAAGTCAATGATCCATTCTAGGAAGTCCCCTCTAAATCGTAGATTATATAATTTGCTCTCGATTAATTTAAAATTTAAACAATCGAACGCACGTGACAGATCGAAGAATACTCCTGCAACATGCTTATCACTATCTAAAGAAGCGTATATGATTTCTAAGAATCTCCAAGTAGCTGAGTATGAACTAGTTCTGAAATCTTTGTAGGGTCAACATGTCTTTGGTAGTGAGGGCAGGACATCAAATAACATCACAATAAGCAAAACTGGAAAGATACAACGAATTAAAAAGTAATAGTTTTGTTCCAGTGTTCATAATGTCATTATGCATATAAAGAGCTTTTCACTTGGTATACCATTTTTTCAATAAATTGTTAATTGACGTATTCAAAAAACACTTCATTGTGAGATTTTCATTAAACAATTTTACAAAAACGCAACACATGTTTTGCCATTCAATATATTTACTACAGTAAAGACATGCCCGAAGAAGCCATTGTATGGCGAAACACGTGTTGCGTTTTTGTAAAATTGTTTAGAAATCTAATGATGAAGTGTTTTTTGAATACGTGTTAGTTATGGATTTTCATCAAGTATCGACCAATTTCATCATATATAATTGCTGCTTCTTGTTCAAGTTTCCAGTACTTTTATCATTTAAATTGATCTGCAAATCCAGACTCCGAGCTGTGTTTTTGTGTCCAAACAAAGGCAGTTATGTTATTTTTTTTTTCATTTAAGACAAGTGACTGAGCCTTTCATAAATTGGAACTTTAAAATCAGTTGCTCGAAGAATAAACTTACTTATGTATTATCCACATATTGGTGAACTCTACAAAATTTGGATATCTGGAAAAGTTTGCTATATACAAAGAAAATAATACTGTTCCCAATAATATATTGTATAGAAGTTTTTTGACTTCGATTAGAAAGGTAGCTTTGGAAGAAACATGATTCTGATTCCTTCAGACCAGTAACAATTGATGTTTTACCAAACTGTTGATATTGACAAAAAAAAAGAGTTTTTACATCAATATGTAAATCTGTTGTGCGTTTTTTTCTTCCTGAAGTATTTAAGCTTCAACAATTTGAAAAGTTCTGCATTTATAAATACAAATAAGTAGATGTACTTTTTCAGATTTGAGTTTGTTCCAATAGGATCTAAAACAGTTGAAAACAAAGAGGATCTTGACAAAAAGGAAATTCAGGAAAAAATGGAAGAAAAGGCTGAATCTCTAGATTTCAAAATAGGAATTGTTTCCGAAAAGTATCTAAAGAATAATATTACTTACGTAAGTATTCTTACACAATTTTCCCCAGTTCTGGTAATTCCTACATAGGAATTGATCACAATTGATTTAATCAAAAGGCAGAAAGTTGCAGATAATACAAACATTGAAAAAATCCCAAAGATTTGAATATCTCTAGAAATTTGATTTTTAATTCCAATCAGTTTGAAAGGAAGAGCTGGAACCTGTGGGCATGGAATAAATCCGAAATGATTTATTGATCAATTCTCTCTGAGGGACTTCAGAGGAACTATGAGAAACAGACATTTTCCAAATCAAAAAGTTTTGGTATCGAGATTAATCAATTAATAACAATCATCATCATCATTTTAAAATAATCTCCGTAAATACAAAAAAATGTGATTTACAACACAATATCACTTCTATTATTAGGATATTCGTTAATGTAATAATATTCCGGGTCTAATAACATTTTAACTTCTGTTTTGAATTTTTTATTAGAGTATTTTGTATTCAATGTTGTAGTTTATTATAAAATTTTCTTGCTGCTGGACTTCTTCTTTAGTGATGTGGTTAGATGGAATCTTCTTGTTTTCCACTTTAAAAATAGGTTTTATATCTCCAACTTTGAATAATTTTAGAATAGTCCTATACATATGATAGTATATGTTAAATAGGTCATTGGTTTTGCTATTATATCACCTAATGTTTTCGAAACTCCAGAAGTAATGCCATCCTTTTTTGTTTTTTTTTTTTGGCTTGAATCTTTCCCTTTTACAATATTTTATGCAAGACTGTTCCCCACATTACTAAAATCATTTATCATTTTTACTATCATTACATAATTTTCTCAGACAAATGACTGATGACTGACAATTTTTGTTAATTTCAGACCTATGATAATTCTACTTTAGCTTGATTAATAAGAGACGTTGCAGTATTTTTATATATTTTGTACCCCATTTCTAGTCCTATGTCTTTGATATATGTATCAATTTCGAGTCTGTTATGTAGCATTTAGCATTGAAAATGTTTTGAATATCTTCATCATATATACATTTCTATTTCTGTACCTTTCCTTTTAACATTTTCTGCCTTTCCCAGCAAGTATTTGTTTCGGTTGGTCAATTCTCCATTAAAATAAATTACTATTGTTCCTTCACCAATTCCGAGACTTTTGGTATTTTCATTTGTTCTTCAGTGTTTACAAAATATTTGAGAGAATTGATTACTTTTTTTAAGGTACCAATTTCTTCTTTCAGTAGCTTATTTTCATAAATCAATTAAGTTTTTTCTTTCTCAATTTCTTTCAAGTTTTAACAATTCTTTATTTTCACTTTTAACATCTTATTTGTTGGCCATGAAATTAATGGATTACTGCAATTCTTTTATTTTTTCAATACATGTTCTATTACTTTACTGTAATATTGATAACCTACAGACATTTTAATACAACTGGAGCACATCCATCTTTTGCCATTTGTTTTTTTTTTAATTCTTTCGAATACATTTCAAAATCTCTAGGTTCTTTATCTGAATCTTCAATAAGTACTGGACTATTTATATTTCGTACAGACTTTTTTTGCTCATGTTACTTTTGACGTAATGTCAATGGAAATTTATGTTGGAATAACTTTTTATAGAATGTACCCACAATGGAAACACCAACTTCCTTTGAAAATTCACTAGGTAGCAATTTATCTCTTTCTTCACACAATATTTAAATTTCAGTTTAAATTATAGTTTTGATATTCACTTGGGTCATGGCATATGGTAAATGATTATTATTATTATTGATCATTACTTGCTTGTGCTATGTATAATGAATCTCCTTTAATTTTTTTCTCTTCTATGCCATTTATACTCCATAGAAAAATAACCACTTTTCATACTATTCATAGACCATGAAAAGTTCATCTGTGAACAAAAAAATTATTTATTGGAAAATTGTTACTTATGCTTTACTGTAGTGAATATTTTTTTTTCAGGCCAATCATATCAAGGAATTTGAATCAATTTATAAAGGTAAATATAGATTATTATTATTATTAAATTTTGTTAAATAGATGTGGATGTTATGAAAACAAGGAAACATTTTAGAGAAACCTGTGGAACCTAGAGAGGATTTTATTAGTCAAGTCTTACCTGTCAAACTCCCCTCTGGCGTGATGGGCGGTATCAAACTTCATTTAAATTGGCCAATCAAGTTTACAAATGAATATGAACGTGCCTTGTACGACGAAACCGTTGCTACGCGTGTTTTAGATGCTAAGTCAAAAATTTTTGCTGGCGATATGACTATAGTGAACAACCATGAATTGTTTATTCCCAATATCGAGCAAACAGCAGAAGACATCAAACATTCTCTGTATATGAAAGAAATCGAGGCAAAAAAGTTCAGAATTGATAGGTTGAAACTAGAAGCAGACCTTGTTGATCTGGACGTGAAGATAAAGAATTGTTTGGGGTTAGACAAGGCTAATCCGAAGGAAGCCTTGGGTTATTTGGAAAAAATGTGCCAGATTGGATTTGACGATGTAATGCTGAAAAAACATTTGCATATTGTTGAGATGGTGAGAAGACTGCGCAAGTATGTTGGAAATACAAAGGAATGGAACATGTCTGACGAATCTTTGACTGAATTTTCAAGTCAGGCTGAAAAAGTTAGGGCTATGGCCGAAAATGTTTATGCAAAGTTCAAGGTAAGAATGCTGATATAAAATCAATTATATGCTTAGTTCTTGTCACAAGGGGGTGACAGAAATCTTTGAAAATAGTTTCAGCTTTGCCAAGGAAAAATTTCTTCATATGAGATTATATTTGTAATAATTACTGTTTCAGAAAGTGGTAAAGTTACCTGAAAATTCAACTAGTTTCTTCGATGGATTCACTGAATTGGCTAGTCAGTTTAGGGCAGACTGTAAGGACCTGGATTTAACCGAGGCAGAAGTCTTTGTGCTGTGCACAGAGCCAAGTGAGTTGTTTTCCCAATTTTCTAAAATTTTATAGCAAACAAATATTTTTATCTATACGTAATATACACATCTGCAGCAACTTCTCAATTAATATTTTAATCATGCAAATCAGATAGATGCATGCAGATAGATTATGCAAATCTGGTAGACAATTTGAAGAAATTTCCTAATTTTGGTATCCCCATAGTTGATTCGGAGACCATGTATGGAGTTGATGATTATTGTCTAGCACCCTCGTTAGCTTTTTCATTGCCTGTGATTCCTAAATGTTTTGGCGCCCAGTATGGAGAATCTAATCTTGAAGGCCAATTCATTTCTTCACGAAATTTCCAGACTATACTAAAACCAATAATGATTGAGAGTAGAAGTAAGCCCAGTTGACAGCAAATCGGGGGCGTGCTTATTAATTTTTTAGAGGGTTAAGAATGAAAGAAAAATTCTTAGTACAATTANCTTATTGTATGGTTTTGACCTCAATAAAATGAGATCACTACAAAAACTTCAAAATCGTGCAATGAGAATCACTTTGAGATGTAACAGATATACACCAATATCATTGATGTTGGGAACATTACAATGGCTGTCAATAGAAAATAGACTTATTTATTTAACTATGAGTTATATCTTCAAAATGTTGCATAATCTTCTTCCATCATATTTTCACAAATATATAACTATAAATACGCAAGTTCACCAGCATGATACGAGAAGTAAACATAACTTACATGTGACTAGGCAAACAAAAGCTTACAATATTAAAACTTTGGTGTTCAAGGGATTCATTGCTTACAACAGTTTGCCAGATGATATAAAGAAATCAGAAACTCTGCAACAGTTTAAAATAAAAATGATAAACCATTTACAGCAAAAGTAAAATCGTTGTATTGTATATCTATCAGGATTAATAATTTTTAGTATCAATACGAGTATTAATATATGTATCTTCTTACGGGATATGAGTGTATAGTGGGTAGTGGGATAGCATAACTTATTGGTTTCATATGTATGTTTGTATATGATTATTGTGGTATTTGGCTGTACGTGAATGGTATCAATATATGTATTTTCTTTCGGGCTATAAGTGTATATTGGGATAGCATTCTTATTGGTTCATATGTAGGATTGTATATGATTATTATGGTATTTGGCTGTACTTGAATGGTTTTCTTTTAGCAAAACAATGGAAAATATAACTCGAAATGTAAATACCTAGTGTGTACGTTTAAATTTAAAACAAAACAAATATATTAATACTATCGAAGGAGCTGCTAATTACTATATATAAGATTATACTTTGTGAATGTAGATTAGGATTACCTATTTCAATAAAGATTATTATTATTATTATTCTCGAAGCGGCGCATAATTGACCGTACAACCATGTGGCAAGAACTTCTGGTGCCACGGTAATTGAAGAAAACAGTATGCAAAACCTGGATATTCGATCAAACTTGGCGTGCTTTTTTTGGTCTGGGCTCTTTCATCAGGATGATTGGACTTTGGTTTGATGTCATAATCGTATACGCATGATTCATCCCAATAGCACTGCAGCGTTATGAGAAGTTTATTGATTTTTTTCCTAGTATAGACCCCACTTCCAAATCTCGCTCCATACCGAAGATTTTGATACCTTCACATTTGGTTCAGTTGATGATATTGAGTTGATGATCCATGTCTGGCCATTCACCAACCTTTTTCTTGCCTGTGACACCAGAGTGTCCTGGTACCCAGTATTCCTATCTGTGTCAGTTTCCTCATTTCTTCACTCCATTTCCAAACCAATGAAAACATAACTTTTGGGTTCATTGGTGCTAAAAGTGTAGCCCGGCTGTCTGTGAAAATATAAATCTGCTCATAGTATAAGAAATATTTCAATACTATCAAGTCACATATTTGTTTCAGGGTCTCGCAAAGCCTTCCTTGATCGCCTAGAGGAAAAGGAAACTGAAAAGGTAAATAGCTCCAAGTTACACTAGCTAACTGTTCCATTGGCATTTTACATTAATATTTTCATCCTAAATTTTGAAAAATATTGTTCTACATACTGTAAAAACAAAGTGGAAAATACAAGTTGTCTTTATTTTAGGAGAATTCCAGTGGAGTTGCAAACAATGAACAAGATACATCTATCAATGGAACATCTGAAATACCAGCAGAGGAAAGCTAAAATTTGCACAATTTTTTATTATCTGATACTAATTTTGTACATAACTATGAATTGTGTTGGTGTCTATTCGTCATATGTTTATTCTCCTTTTTAAACATATCTTTTACTAGATGTCATTTTTGAAACAACTTGTTTGATTTAGCATAAATTTATTGATCAGTTTTTTTTTTAATAAAAAAGGATGATTATTTGTTGTTTTGTTTCTGGTAAATCTTGAAGCAATATTATCAAAAGAAGAAATAATGCCATGAACACCATCCAGAAGTATAATCACTTGACTCCAATGTTATAAAATAGTTCCCTGTGCTCTCTTTACCTCATAGCACCCCAGTTAAGTGTGCAACTGAATGCACTTTGGTGTTAGATACATAACAGGTGGAAGAATTTCAACATACTAAGCGATCTGACATAGTGAGTCGACAAAAACTTATTTAATCAACTGGTAGATGTTTTGTGATTTTTTCAACCCAAATCTACACATTCAAATTGATTACTTCCTTCCTTTCTTTGGAATATTTCCTCATCCCTTTTTTTGTATTAAGATGGAGTAGTAGAAAGCCAAAAACTTTCTTTCCCAAATTATTTTAAAAAGTTATGTTGAAATTCCATGCCAAACTTCAGTTGAACTATCAGCTGTTCCAATCAGAAATTTCAAATTAATCAGAAACCAATATTTACCAGACATGTGCGTTGTCAACGATTTACAAACAGTTGGAAATCTGTTTGTGACTGAAGGTTGGAACGAACCTTATGTTTTCTGTATCACGCAAGTATTCACCCACAATTGTTCTGATAGGTTGCTTTTCCAAACTGACAGGTGAATAAATGCCTAAAAATTCTAATATGTTACCTAATAAGAAGGGTACAAAAGTGCCAGTTCTCAAACGTATCGTCAGGTCTAAAGTTGTACAAATCAAATCAAAATATACTTTATTGTCGAAAAAGTCTAGTTTTGTTGAAAAAGTCTAGTTTTGTTGACAAAGTAAAAGATACATAGTACAGAAATAAAATATAGGCAGTACACACAGGGATATGAAATATAAAGAAAATAAATGTGCACCTATAGAAATTGATATTTGAACATTTCGTATATATACATAAATAAATGTAAAAAAAATGAATAAAATACCAATAAAAAGTGTTTTTAGACCATTTTGTCAATTATTCAACTAATAAGTAATCGCTTTAAGCGAGTATTCTATACAATAACAGCAATAAAATCACAAAAGAATAAACAGTTCACATTTTTGATTGAAAGTTGTCATTGTAAAATTCTTGCAAAATATAATAGGGTCTGCTCACGAGAAGATTTTTTGTGTATTTTCTAAAGCCTTCAATACTATCGTGGCTCTCTTCAGAATGAGATGGAAAGTGGTTATACATTGTGTAAGAAAATTGAGTCCTTTACCAAGGAAGAGAAAGGAAAGGGTAATTTCAAGTTATTTTTAGATGTTTTGCAGTATTACGATAAGAAGAAATATTTTCAAATTTTGAACTATGTTTGTGTATCAGAAGAGAGCCACAACTATCAATATCTTTTTCTCTGCAAATAACTGCCTACAAGAATTGCGTGGTCCTAGTTTGAACACATATCTAATGGCTCTCTTTTGCAGTTCAAGTACTGAATCTAGCAGACTGGAGTTACATACCCCCCAGAAATGGTATGGCATATCTCAGTTGAGATTCAATTAATGCATAATATGCGTTCAAAGCTGAGACAGTACCAAGCTCCCTTGAAATAATTCTCATTGCATAGCACCCTGAGATTTTATTCTTCAGTCGGTTGTGTGCTTCAAACTTCAATTTACTGTCGATAAAAAGGCCCAAAAATTTTGTGCAATCTTTATTTTCAATCATCTCATATTCTAGAGGCNACATGACTTCCTGTATTCTAAATTAAATAATAGTCTAGTTATTTTTTTTTGGGAAGTGAAAACTATTTTTCATTCTGTAGCCAGTCCCCATATGTTGCAATATTATTTGATATATATGCAAACGCATAGTATAAATTCAACAATCCCTTTTGGTCCAAAATTGGTTTCATCTGAAAAATTGCATAGTATGCTTTATTGAGGTTTACAAAAAAAGTCTATGTGGGAGGAGAAACGCCATGTCCCGGGTAACTTGATGCTGTCACTAAATATTAGATTTTTATGAAAGGTTTTTGAAACTGGCTTTCTTATATGGAAATGTATGCAGGTTGTCTTTATCAGTATTTGAAATGAGTCGATTATTATGGCATCATTTTATTATATTACTGTGCAATTCTTCAAGGGGTTCTCTACAGACTGTAACTGTTGTGTAATCGGCAAACATTGTTATTTGTCCCGCGGTTATATGACTGGATATATTGTTTACAAAAAGGAGAAAAATTTAGGATCACCAAGACAGATCCTTGAGGAACACCGAGAAAAGTAGTATTTTTCTCTATCTAAGGAAGTGTAAACATAATTCAGTAAATGGTATGTGGCTGATTCCGTTGATTTGTTTTTCCTAAAACCATGTTGAGAAAGCGTTAACAGGTCATAGTGTTCTACAAAACTGATTACTAGATTGTACACACAGCTTTCAAGCACCTTTAAAAATTCTGTCAAAAAATATTTGGCGGTAGTTATCTATTGTTTATTTATCACGTCACCACATTTCTGGTATTAGCTACTGAATTATAAGGCATTCTCGATGATGATTAATTTGTTATTTTAATAATTTAAAAAAAATTTTTGTTTGTATTTGACCTTTTTTAGATTTCGCGTTTTTATTTATTTATTAATTTATTTGTAATACAATACTCTACAGGACATAGCCCAATTACAGAGTATAATAAATACATCACAAACTGTAAAGTCTACAAACAAATGACTACAAAGACTAAACATTTTATATTTATTATAGGTGACAAAACAATTATATTAGGAAGTGGGATTTTATATCTGACAATTTGCAACTAAATATATCTAAATTATCGCTAACAGAGTTGGTCACTTACACATGGTATGGATCGGAGAATTATCCAGAACATTTGTGCGACATGTTTTTATTTAGAAAGTACTCGGGTGTCTGGAACAGATTCTAGGAATGCAAATATTAAACTTTTCCAGTAATGTTGAGCAGTCAACTATGCTTTTGATTATTTTATAGGTTAATACAACACTGTAATATTCACGCCTTTTTTCGAGACTGAAAAAGTAGCAATTCACAGTGGGTTGTTCCTATTGGAGAATAAATACCATCGGTTTTTAGGCTTAGCAGTTTTAAAAATCGTCATTGAATTGCTTCTATTCTATCAATATAATATTGATAAAAGGGGCTCCACACAACTGACGCTTATTCTAACTTTGATCTTATGAAAGCATAGAATTAAGTTTTCAAGGTCGAAGTTTCTTTGAAATCACTACTGTTACGTGCAATTAATTCATACAATCGACAGGAGGAGGTTACAACATTATCGATATGCCTATTAAATGATAGTGCAGTGTCAAATGTGACGCCAAGATTAGTAAATGTCTCTGGTCTCACCAGAGACATTTACTAATCATGAATAATCAAAGATCAAGATATTCGTTTTTAAACTGTAGGACATGACCTTACATTTATCCGGGTTTAACGACAAGTTATTTTGATAACACCATTCTACAACCCGTCCTACGTTTGCTGATCATCGGCATACAAAAGGAAATACACATCTATAACATCTGCAATATCATTAATGATGACATTGAAGAGCAACAGTCCCAGATTTGACGCTTGTGGAAGACCGGAAGACCATTGAGCTGAACATATTGTTTTCGATCCCGTAGATAGGACTGAAAGAGTGCGATTAAGGATGGAGATAAACCAAAGGCTACTAGTTTGTTTAGTAGAATGCCATAATCCAAAGGCTACTAGTTTGTTTAGTAGAATGCCATGGTCAAGCCTGTCGAAGGCCTTAGAAAAGTCTGATTCAGCAATATGTTGGGTTACAGTCAGAAGATTGGTGACCGTTGAACGATTTTTCATAAAACCGTGTTGGTTTATACTTATATGGCAACTTACATGCCGATATATAACTCGCTCCAGCAGAATCTCAAAGACCTTTGCAAAGTTGCAAATAATAGAGATAGGCCGATAATTTGAAATATCTCGCCTATCTCCTTTCTTGAAAATGGGACAGACTTTTGATGATTTTCAGATCCTTGGTATTGTAGCCGATCTTAAGCAGATATCAATTAGTATAGTTTTCCATAGAAATATGTGGATTCATCTTCTGAGTCATCAAGAACTTCCAAGAAAGTCCAGTCAATATGAGATATTTTTACTTGTATTGTCCTTTTTTTTTCTTCATACACGTTCAGTTTTTCTGTTAGGTAAACGATTTTATCTTTCAACAAACTGCAATTTTCGCTGAGAATATCGCACTTGGAGTTTATTTTCCACTGCATATATGGATTTATTTCAGGATCTGCTTACTCAAGAGAATTCTTTTCCACTTCATTCTCATCTGGTAAACATTTTATCTCAAGCAGCCCAACAAAATGCATTTTTTTGTTTGGGCTGCTTGTAGCATACAACTAGGATGGAAGATTTCCATGTATTTGTAGTAATCATTGCGTAGCATGATTGCAGCGTAAACAATTGCTGCATAATTGTTTAAACTTTGGCGTATCTGTCTTTGATAGAATTTTAAGAAATGGGGACAATAAAAAAGACTGTCCATTTTCACATAAAAAACACGAATATTTTTTGTAGGTCTGATCACTAGTCTGACTCATGAGTGATCTGGTGTCGCGTCGTTTATTACGTTTATCGTCTGTCCTTTGAAGATTTATTTCTAAAATTTCGACTAAATCGGCTCGCTCTTTATTTTACCTAATTGTTCAAAAAATTTACAACGTTATGAAATCGTGTTGACTTAAGTATCCCAGAGAATGATTTAATGATATTGAATTGAATAACGATTCCTATGATTTAAGATTCGTGTATACATTAAACAAAAAACGTGTTAGTTTATGTTACTCGCAGTCTATTCAATTACGCACGGTAGACAAGCCAGCCGATAGGTTAACCCTACTCTCTTTTACCACAGTAGAATGCTAAATCACAGCATAGGTAACATTGTTACCTATGCAGGACAGGATGCAGTAGCCTAGTACCAGTTGAAGATTTTTGAGGGAAAGCTTGAGAACCCGGTAGAGAATATATATAATTCTTAGCCAATAAATGTATTGAAATGCAAATATGCGGCCTCAGCGGACGCTTCGGGACAAAAATCAATGCCTTACAGGGTCGATTGTCATCTGATCTATTAGCAAGACATATATACAGTTGAATTTAGATATCGAACATGATTTTAAGAAAAATTATATCGAGCTTTGAAAGCAGAAGCAGGTACTGAAAAACAAAGCAAGCAATCCACATATCAGGCAAATTATCGGAGATAATTAAAGAGAAACGCAGCTCACGAACGCCGTCAGACGGAGAAAATCAAAGGCTATAAGTCTCAGCATTTTCAAGCTGTTAATTTAAATGCAATTTTTATCAAATGTTCCAGAGCGCATTGCTTTCAATCGTGTAGAGCGTAGGATGGCATCACTAAGTAAGCAACTAACAGGCGTTGTTTTACCACACGAGAACTAGCACACCATTGGATGCACGGGGAAAAACTTCTCACCACGAGCTGGAACTCGAAAATTTTCAGGCTGCTGGTGAAGCTTTGGCAGATCGCTGGACAAAATTAATGGTATATTATTTTCCTGTAACCGCGCATTACGAGGGTCCAGACTCTGAAGCAGTAATCCTCAAACCCATGGATGCATTCTGGTAGTCCAAACACGTCATTGAATCACACTATTGCTTACAGACTGTTAAATGTGACAGTACTGATTGCTGCGGAGCCGGAGATCCAACACAATGATATAAAAATGATTGTCAATAATGGCTTTTGACCAGTACAGCTTGTTACGGAAAAGCTGAGCATATTGACATCAAAGGAAAACGTATAGGGCGCTCATTTTTTGTCACTTTTTCTGCGCCGTACAATTCATCCTCCTACCGGTAGTGAAGATGTAGAGTGCCGGATTAAGTTCCACCTACCACTGCGACGGATAGATTACCAATTGTTTCTGAATGGACAACATGGCTAACTAACCCATTCAGTTTAGATGATTGATCTGAATTGATCTCGTTTTAACTGTTCAGGTTAGTTTATTTGAAATCAATAAAACTAGTCGATTATTATTTTAAAAGTGTTATTAGTTTGTAGATTGTTTAACTGATTTAACGGGAATCCATCTAGTAACATTTCTTGTTCGCTTTTTTGTGAATTATGACTCATAACACTTATCTACTTCACTCAGTAACGGAATATCAAAATTCTGACGAGACAAGAAACATTCAAGGAGACATAGTTGGAACAGATAAAGGCAGTGAAAAAAATAAATATATTGCATGAACATTAGTGTCCCTCAAGGGCCTACACTGGGACCAGTTCTTTTTACAATTTTCATAAATGATATATTATGGTTTACTTATGCTGGAAGATGTATTTTTATGACACCAATATCTTTATTTTTGAGAATAAAACAAGATATTGTGAATAACACAAACATTTGTTTTAACTGATTTCCATAAGTGTTGTGTATCCAACGGATTGCTAGTGAATTTGTTAGACATTCTTTTATGGAACTTACAAAAAAAACATAAATTATGATTTGTCCTCTAATAAAGGATCATAAAACAATAGAGCAGGAAAACAACTAATTTCTGGGTATCAAAGTAGTTCAAAAAATGAAATGGAAACCTCATAAATAAACCTAAGCACAGTTGGCTCCTTCATTAGACAATTTGAAGGTAAGTGTCTTTGTAAACTCTCAAAGTTGCCTACTTTGGAATAGTACAATCAATAAATGATAAGTTATGGACTAATATTTTGGGGTAACTCAGTACATATGAATAGTGTTCATATTATGCAAAAAATAATTATCAGATATAGCATAAGTGAACTTGAACCTCATGTAGAAAATGGTGAAATTAACTAGGTAATCACACTGTGCCATTACTTACTTATGGTTATTCGTCCTGATTTAAGTTCAGTTAGTAGGAATGAAATGAAATGCCAACTAACTGAATTTTATAAAAATAATGTGCTCTATTCTCTTCAAGAATTTTCAATTTACTGTTCTTAATCTGCCTTGTAAGTATTAATATGTACATATTAATGACAATTATCTAAATCGCTGGATATATGCAAACAGGGTTCCTTAAAATAGTCCGCTAGACAACCTGATATCACGCCCTCATGAAAATGAGAGGCAGCTTAGGAGTTTGAAGTTTCGGTTCGTTTATGTTGAATTGAGAGGAAGTGTAGAAGTTTTTTTTTTTTTTCAAGACAAAACCCAAGCACTACAGGAAAATCCTTAAGGCGCTCTAAGAGCGGTGCCTGTGCGAAAGTAGCCATTCACATTGGATCTGAATCGCTGGAGATTTAATTCGTTTGGAAAAACGTTCTCAGGAAATGTATTCCACATAAACGCAGTTCTTCAGATGAAATTCTAAAACAGTGAAGTTCGAGATGTATTGAGTTGAACCTCAAAACAATGAGCAACACAGTCCGTCGCGTATTTCTGATATATACCGCTCTTGGTGGAATCAAATGTACCAAGTCACTTGAACACTTCCCGTGAAAGTATCTATAAAAGAAAGACAAATCCCCAACTTTTCTTCGATGTTCCAGACTCTCAAGGTTGCAAGTGATGTTCGCATCTCCAATCAGGCGGATGGTTTTTTTCTGGATGGAATCCAGAATATGTAGTCAGTTGTTTTGTTATTGAATAAAAATCAATGTTTGTCTTTTCAACGTTTATTTGGAAAACTTCACATACTATATTGTTGGCAGCCCTGAGAATGAAGATACTATTTTATAAGTTGGGAGACTTTTAGTAACAAAAGCGTTGTATAATATTTCACGAAATTCAGTTGTTGAATATTTTTGAATGAAGTTGTCAAGTTATTGAAGTCTTAGCACTACACCAAATTTTCATAAATACAAAAGTGACAACGAGGATGGGATCCGTAATTTCGAATCGTGTATGAAACATTTATAAGGTTTTGGTAGTGTTGATCTACATTTTTGCTTGGAGTGATACCATCGATGTATGTTGCTGTATTTTCTAATTCAGATATCATTTTCCATTAATATTTTTAAAATGGTAGGAGCAACTTTTATTCCAAACAGAAGTCGATTGTATGTGAGAAGTCCTTCGTATTGATTGTCTGGAATTTTAGAGAACTTCAACTTGAAGAAATTCATCTGATAAGTCTGAATAATCTAGAATTTTCCAGTGGCGAAAAAATTTCTTCTCCAGGTGGGAGTAGAAACTTATATATATATATATATATTCATAAGTCTGAATATTCTAGAATTTTCCAGTGTCGAAAAAATTTCTTCTCCAGGTGGGAGTAGAAACTGCTGAGGTTAAAGTGCATTGCTCAATCCTGTTGAATAATCCGCACATATACGAATTTTTCCATCATTTCTTCATGACTGAAATAGGTGCTGCCCAATTGGACTAATCAACCGGAGTATTTTACGCTTCTTCAACTGAATGTAATGATGCATATGCTACTAGTTGTTTTGAACAAAATACCAATTTGCTTCTTTTTGATATGCGTAGTTCTACGTTCCCTTTTACATAAAGTCCAAGGCTGTCATTGAAAATATCAGGAAATTGTTTTTGAATTTGTTAGACATCATGTACTTTATGCATGGAAATGTCAATGTCTGACGTTGACATGACATTACGTATTGAATTGAGAGGAATGTCCCACCTACCAAACTTTGTTATCCAGTCGATCCCTAGCAAGTTCAGGTCTTTCACTGGAATTAAACTCGGAGATCAATTCAAGTTGTTGACCACATGCACTTTTGACAATGTTTTCGGTTAAACTACATTGTTGTTTTCCTAATTCTGACCACATTTCTTCTGATATGATGGTGTGTGTGTCTTGTCTTTATGCAATCTTGACATGTGTGATTATAATAATAAATGCTTTTATTGAAAGGTTACTCAGTACAAAAGATACTAACCTAACAAATGGCAGAATTCAACGTCTGCACATGATAAATCAAGGCAGAAATTGCTCTTCCACCCAACAATCATTTATATTTTACAAAAGTCAGTTGTTAAATACTATTAATAAGGTTGTCCAAGTTATTGAAGTCTTAGAGTTACACCCAATCTTCACGAATATAAAATATATCAAGTCTGTTTGAAATATATATAGAACAATTACAGTGATGGAAAACATTACCTTTCCTAAGAGTGTCATCTCGGTGACATTACATTTTATATTTCTTCATTGTCATCATTGCAATCCATTGAAAATTCAACAAGGTCTTTATTCCCATTGACTATCGTAGGATCATCAGATTTTATTCTCGATTATGAAGAACTTGGAAGAAATTCAAGATTTCAGGTTAATTTCATAGTTGAAATGTGTTAACACATTTCGTATTTTATAAAATGTTAGTGCTGGAAAGGCAAACTTATTGATTAACAATAGTATGCCTCTGTTTCCTACCTGAGTTTTAATTGGACCAGTACCCTGATAATAGGTTTTTCTAATTGAAACTTTATGAAACTCAATCAGGAAAATCGTTAACGTAATGAATTTTATTTTGGAAGTAAAAGTATACCTCGTTAGGTGCAAATGAACTTAGTTTCTAGGAATTAGTTTAGATCTTCTTTTAGAGATGCCAACTAGGTTGTCAAAACATTTGTCAAGTGGATGGATTTTGTATTTCTGTATTTTGGATGACTATGAACCAAGAACAATCAATCAGAATTAAACAACATTCAAATATTTCTCATACAAAATATGTTTTAATTTAGGACTTCATGCATCTGATTATAAGTCTTTTTTCATTCAGGCACAGTACACTGTCACTATAAAGAAATAAATAATGAAAGAGTTTACTACACACTTGAAGTGAATTTTGAAAATTCTGCAGTCTCTTAGAAAGGGTATATAGTGCCTCTTTGTGAACAAAACTCAACTTCTAGACGATCTTGGACGTTTCTTTTCATATCTTCTATCTCTACTCTCCCTTTCTTCCCTTTCTCTTCTTTTTAGCCGATCTTTTCTTTCTTCCTCTTCTTCCTTCAACTCTAGACTAACTGGCTTTTTAAAGGGCCTGTCTCTTCCACCAAATCTCAGTTGACCTGATTCTTTCTTTCCACTAAATCCTCCACCAAGCCTCCTAGGTTTCCAACCTTTCAATAAGCGTTCACACTCAAAATCTACAAAAATTATGTTTCCATCTATATTGAGTCTATTAGCATTACGGTAAGCATCTTCAGCTGAACTTTCAGATTCATATTCAATGAATGCGTAACCTTTAGGCATACCAGTGACAATATCTCTAACCAACCTGAACCTCCTTAGTTTTCCATATTTAGAAAATACCTCTTTAATAGTATCTCTGGTGGTTTGGTAACTCAAACGACTGACAAATATTGTACACTCTGGTTTGCCTTTAATATGACGATTTGGTACATATTTGGAGTTTATAGCTCTTTCTATTCCTCGGTCGTGTGGTTCCACGTCTGTACCATCGATAGAACCTATTTTAATTGGATCATATATTCTAGCATATTTGGACCATTCTTCATGTTTCTGAAATTAACAGCCGTTCACTATTTTTTTACAGATGGAAATAATATTTTACCTACTTCACACATTTTGAGATTTCTTTAATAAAATGATAGATTTACTGGCACATAAATAATATCGGTTTTATGGAACACATAGACTAAGGCTGCAAACATGTAGCCAAAGCATAGTATTTGTGGCCAAAGTTAATTTACTGTGATTTAACATTTAAATAAATTAACATTAAGAAGAACTCTATCTATCTCTCTCTCTTCTCTGATTGGCTCTGCTTAAGAAGAAGAAGCAAAGCATCCCAAAAATGTTTTCTGGTGTTAAATCGTATTCCAGTGTGTACTCAAAAACGATTCGTAGTGACGTGATTATTAATATGATTCGCCAGAATGGAATGACTGTGTCAGATGTAGAATTCAATAAAAACAAACCTTTCATTTTTCTCCAAAATCAATTAGAATTGTATTTGTACATTTTTTTTGTATAAATATGCATGCAACACTCAGAGATGCACGTGTTCTCTCTCTCTCTCTATGTAAATGATATGCTTCCATTGAGGTGCATTAAGTCAGATGACACGTGTTAGTGACACACAAGTTATTCACGATAATTCAAATCTCAGAGTACTCCCGTATTTTTTGAAATTTTGAAGATTTTTGGTGGGCACAGGGTTACCATCACAGAACTATAACTTAAAGTCTAAGTTATAGTTCTATGGTTACTATATAGGCGAAATGTCATCATTTTCGATTGACATTTGTTCAAGATCCCGATTCAGTGAAGCGCTTTGCGTATTCTGATTATCTCTACTGGTGGTATGATCGTGTCTCAGCCGTACCAACTTGTGGTAGAACTGCCAATTTCACAACTTCGTTAGCAAGTTATGGAGGAGATATATATCACTGCCGCCGAAGGTAAGATTTATAATCCCTAAGTTTTTGGGTGAAAAAGGTGGCATGCTCCGGATCTCTTTCACACCACAGAGTATGCATTCTCGTCATTAACTCTCCTCGCTCTCGTAGTAATACATGGTGGCTCATGCCACCACTCAAAGCGTCTATTATCATTACCAGGGTTGCCACCTTACCTCTGACACCACCGAGTGAGTCGTTTGTGGGAGCCCCTTTCTTGTATTCTAGGCACAGAGTTTTGGATCTACAGGATGGTTAGCCCTGCAGACCAACGGGTGACATTGTGAAGAGAGTAATGTTATCTCTACCGGATGCATTTCGTCTGCCGGAGTCGTTTTATACTAGTTGTTCGGGTAAGTGGCCTCTCCAAAGGCCTCAGATGTTAGATTGCCATTCATTCTTATTTTTCCATTTATATTTTCATTTTTTATATAAGACTGCGCCTTTCGAACCCTTTTCCCGAACCAATGATCACGCCAACATTTTGAAATTGTTCGACAAAGACTTCTGCCTTGATACAAGTCGGTATGAAATTGATATTCAAGAGTAGAGATGGCAATCATTCCACCAATAAATCTAATAATCAGAACACCCTAAAAACTCGACGACATATATCATGGCTGCCTTAATACTCCAAAATTTATTATGTTTCACCCTTAATGTTTTCTGTTTTGGGTCTTGTATTCACAGTTCACGTTCACTCCCAGCACGTTCACAGTATAACTAATGAAACTACTATATAGTGAAATAAAGTCTAGAGCAACTGGGGCTTAATAAATAATCGAGTCTCAATAAAAGCAACAGAATTTACCATTCTGTCCGCTTCATCGACTCATCATCCAATTCTAAAATCATTACATTTGTTCGAATTTTTCCTGAATTATTTTTCACTTTTTTCATGGACTCTTCATTTCTGAAAATGTAAGTTCCAAATTCCTTCTCGAGAAATTTCATGAAATGAAATTGCCATCAATCAATAAATTATACACAAAAAATAGATACTTCAGTTGAAATATTTGTGTTATATATTAATATTTCATAAACTTCAACTCATGCTTTGATCTCCACAAACTTTATTTGGAGAAAATATGACATGTTTTGCTAACACAGTAGTCTCTTCAGCAGATCACGATTTGATCTCCACAAAGTTTATTTGAAAAATATATCACATGTTTCGTTAACACAGTAGCTACTGTGTTAGCGAAACATGTCGTGATATATTTTCAAATAAAGTTTATGGAGATCAAATCGTGAGTTCTAGTTTATGAAATCACCATGGATCTTCATCAAGAAAATTATATATTGTGGTTTCTAATATATATTTTGTTTTCAATATGTTTAATATTAACAAATCATTACTGATGGATACTATTCGAACGAGGTGAATAATTTTTTGGTGTAATGGAAATGCCATGTATATTAAACATGCTTCGTTGAAGTTTCTTCTGGAACTATTCTCACTTTCAATTTTGTTTCTATCACGGACTTTTCTTTCTACTTCTGACTGCACTGTCTTAATTTACTCTTCGTCCTCATACTTCTTGCTAATATCCTGTAAGATGTAAATGACAGATGAAAATTACGATTTCCTACAAAGGTTGAAGCATGAAATACTCAACGTATGGTCGTCAAATGCTGTCATAATAATGACAGCATAATGATAAATAATCAGCAGTGAATTGGCGCAATGGTTAAACTTTTCTTTTGACCTTGGGGTCTTGAATTCGAATTTAACTTCGACCAGATATGTCTCACGTGAAAATGTATCTAGTTGAAGGTGAATTCATTGTCTTACATTATATGGCTGGCGCTCAGGGGGAAGAGCTGACAGTACTGCGAATGGTCAAAATGCTTCCTAGGTGGGTCGGGGAGTTATTAACGTTAACAATTATCACAACAGTCGATACCGTTAACATCGGAAGAAAAAAAATCGTTATCTGAAGAGATGTTATGGAATATTTTGATAATAGCGTTATTTGTTCATTGTCTATTATGTTGCTTATAATTAATAATAAATGAAATAATGATAAAAACTATTGGAAATTTGTAAATCCAAATATGCTTGAAAGTGGAATAAAAAACGAAACAAATTGAATTTGATGAAATAAATTAGATATATTTCACATGATAAAATATATGTGACAATGGTCATAATAGCTTTATTACTAGTTACTGTGATTCTTCCAAAATACAAATCATGAAATTATAAAACAACAACAAAAATCAATTGGCGCTCCGAGGCAACTTCATTGCTTCCAGTGGCGCATTTGCCTTTTCAGCTGCAAGAAAACCAGGAAAAACCTGTACCACATTATCACTATTTCTATCATCGTCTATTATGGTGCTCATAATTGATCACAAATAAAATAATAAAAATCTATCGAAAATTTGTGAATTCCTGTGTACATGAAAGTGGAATAAAAAAAACGAAACAAATTGAAATTGTTGATAAACATTAAATACATTGCACATGATAAATGTGTTGTCGTTGTCGATTATGAACGATGAAGTTGAAGTCCCTGCGAAGTGTATTATTAGACATCAACAATCGCGGCCAGATTTGAAATATGATCATATCGTAGGTTATCAAGTGAGGCGACGGTTGCCTCCAGACTACGTTTACGTCTCACAATTCATGTTATCTGTTTTGGGTCTTCTTGGGTTCACAGTTCACAGTTCACGATCACACTGCACCACAGTCTGCACTGAGTGACTGATAAGTTATAGTTCTGTGCTGAGTACGTTCGTTGTTCGTTCACAGTTCAATCACTTTGAGAATGACTTCTTGACGTCTCGACTTTATGGGTGGTTATAAATTTGTTGTGGATTGTAGTTTATAACCGAGATATATTATAATGTAGTTGAAAATCGGGCTACAATAAATTGATATTTAGGTTACCAAATGCAATATGATTGATATGGTATGGAACTTTAATATTATGTAATACTACATTTTCATAACTTGACTATTCTTTCAGTGCTGCTCTGCAAAATAAAATTTGAATATAATATGCGAATAAAACGCACAAATTTAGTTATAGGATTATTATTAATTGTATGGACTTCTGTATTATATTTAACTTTTCCATACCATTCCATCAATTCCAATGAAGTTTCTGATGTAGTTAAACAAATTGTGATTTTGGAACAAGGCATATCAAGAGAGTTTGAAAAGAACAATGTTGTAATAAAAGATGCTCAGGAGTTACTAGAAATTAAAAAGAAAGGTGAAATACACCCAAATATAGTAGATCAGAAAGAACTGCAAGATGTTAAAATACCAGTTTTGGTGTTTGCCTGCAATAGAGTTACTGTCACCAGGTGTTTGGATAATTTGATTCAATACAGGCCCGATCCAGATCAGTTTCCCATTATTGTTAGTCAGGTGGCTTTTTTTCAGTTTTTCATCCAGTTTCACCAGAATTGAAATTGTGTTTTCAGGACTGTAGCCATGAAGAAACTAGAAATGCAATTCAAAAGTATGGCTCTCAAATTTCACTCATACAACAGCCAGATCAATCAGACATTCAAGTTCCGCCAAAAGAAAAAAAATTCAAGGGGTATTTCAAAATAGCAAGACATTATGGTTGGGCATTAAACCAAATGTTTTTCAATTTTAACTTTAGCTCAGTAATCATAGTAGAAGGTAAGATACCATTACTGTTGAATAAAGTAAGTATGTGTATGAAATTTATTTTTTATTCAAATAAAAATTTATTCTGAAATTTCCACTGGACAGTTCACAAAACCACGACATGTGTTTCACCATACAGCAACTTTATCAAGCATTTTCTTACTCCAGAGTATGAAATCTTGCAATAAAGTATTACCTGAATGAGTTATGGATAAAGTATTGGCCAATTTCATCACATATTTATTTTTTAGATGATTTGGAAGTGGCTCCAGATTTCTTTGAATACTTCATTGGTACTTATCCTCTTCTGTTGAAAGACTCATCACTTTGGTGTATTTCTGCTTGGAATGACAATGGTAAAGAAGGTCTTGTTAACACTGATAGACCTGATTTACTTTACCGTACTGACTTCTTCCCTGGCTTGGGCTGGATGCTTACAAAAAATATTTGGTTTGAACTCTACAGCAAATGGCCAAGAGCGTAAGTATAGTTTAATAATTTGCTTTTATCTCATGAATCTGTTATGGAGTATGTTGCAACAGCATTATTTGCTATGAATATTGGTTAACGTTACACTTAGTTTCAACATGTTTAGTTAGTTTCGTCAACCATGTTTAAACCAGAAAAATTCCATTTCTTCATTTTGGATGTATATAAAAAAATCTATATCAGTCAGTACTGTTCCAACTATAGACACATATAATTTCAGTTAGAATTCTTTTTTATTATTATTCACTTTCAACTCATTATCACTATAGTTTTCTTTTTGCCATTGATATTTTTGAATTGATGTGGATAAAAAGACCCTGGTGTGATCAGTTGGACCCTTAACTATGTTAAATGTTTTGTTGGAAACAATTGTCCTGCGACATTCCAGTGACAGAGATGCTGAGCGCATACCCCGTGACTCTGTTTTACATTATCAAGATGAAATTTCAATGTTTAAATTTGGAAATTAATTGATATTGCAAAAGGTCTCCACATAATAGCATATAAATTGAAATTTGAGTGAATGTTGGTAAGTACAAGTGTTGATCCATGTGGTTAATAATTGTTAATTTTTTTTTCGAACTGCATTTCTTCAATTGGTTAATCATACTAGTCTCAGTTTACAATCATAACAATGAAATAATTGTGAAGTTCAAATAAAATTGTTAAAAATATTCCTACATTCAATATTACTTGCCGGATGTCTTGGAGTCTTGTTTCCAGTTGGATTGATTCTATCTTGATTTTATACAATATTTTTCTCAATTTTGTCTTAAAATAGGTTATGTACACTTGATTTTCCTTTCCAAATACTATTGACCCTTATCTTGCCATGTTTATCCATAATGTGTAGTCTTTGAATTTGACCGTGTATTGAATTGTAATTGTATTGACATTGTCTACAACTGGAAACAGGTTTTTATTATGAAGAAACAATTGAATATTATTCTATTCGGACTTTTTCAAAGCATTCGACAAGTTCAGCCATATTATATAATTAGAAGAACTCAAATCATCAGAGTTAATAACTTCATGTCCACATAAGTAGTAGTAACATCTGGTGTTCCTCAAGGATCTCATTTAGGCCCGCTACTTTTCGATGTATTCATAAATGACAAGGTCCTGTATTTCTAATGGTTCAATTCTTTCATATATGTCTTGTGCTGATGCCTTAAAGCACCAAAGTTATTTGGACAACATTGCTAACTTGTGATGCTTAAATGGTATGTTCATGAATATCATTGATTGTAAAGTTATCGAGAAATACAATAGTAATATTGTATTGGATTCTGTTTGCAACATCAGAGACCATGTTCGAAACTAACGAGGGTCAATCTACATTTTATGTTAATCATAAACAAGGCTTTAAAATTTCTGGGATTCATCTTAATAGTTACTGCTAATTTCACAAACATGGACTCATTGAAAACATTATGTTGTGCCTTTGTGAGAACACATCTTGAATACTGTTCACTTATGTGGAATCCACTTTACACATTCATTCACTAAATATTGAACAAGTTCAGCACAATTTATTAAATTATGTCATTTTCAAGCTCTGAATGTACTTTAACTACCAGTTCTGCAAGCAGTACTGAAACTGTCGTCACTTTGTCTCAGAGGAACTCACAGAGATTTATCTTGCCTTCACATAGTAAACAGCAAAAGCTATATCAGACCTTGTAGCCACTGATAAATATATAAGACTGCTTACGGCTGATTAAAAAGGAATACTTGGAGGAATTTTGTAATTTTGAAACTCAATGACATTGTGATATTTCACAATTGGAGTTTTGACAGGATAACACTGACACATATTAAACTTTTTCAATATATATTTCCTGGCTTAGGAATGTACATTCATATGATTTATTTATTTCAATCCCAAGATACGCTATGGCTGTGCACTCAGTTTTCAACTCATTGAGAAATTTGGAGTTTTCACTTCAAAGAATTTATTTTCTTGTATCATTGAGAAATTTCTCATTGCTTTCCAAGGCATTAACATGTAATGTTAATGCATCATCAGAATGGAAAGTTTTGAAACTTGCCATTCAGATAATTCTAAAAGTTATCTAAGAAAATAATGATGAAAGATCCATTCATGGTATTATTGTTGTTCAAGAAGATA